ACGCCGACGGCCAGAGGCCCGCGCATCTACATTTTTTCGCCTGACCCCATCAGTGCCGACCCAACTACACCACCACGCGCATGCCTCGCGGCGGATATGCGCAGCAGCAAGAAGGTTTCGGTCATCCCTTGAGGGTGAGTCTAGCCCTGCTCGCCAGAAAGCCCCCCCCCTTCACTACAACCCATGTCTAAGCAAAAGCTTGTCGAGGAGCGAGGGGAAGAAGGGAGAGTCAGGGTGCGACACACAAAACGCCCAACTAACCAACAGAAGTACCCAAAACCTTCGTCTGCACCTTCCCAACATAACATATATATATGAGACACACAAGACAGCTACCAAACTGATTTGTTGAGCCTGTTATCCGCAGGGGAGATGTTCTTAGATGCTGTCTGCGAAATCGTAGGCATACAGGTAGTTTTTTCTGACGCAATGATTCCATTGTCAATCTGTCTCTGACTCTTATCAATGATAGAGATAGACTCGTTGTGTAAAAAAAATGCCCAACTACAGACTGATGAGAGGAAACCTTTGCCGCTGTTTTTTTGGAATCGGTTGGTTAGTTTTTGCGCTGTAAACGAAACAACTTGACCCTCTAGATCCAGTTTTTCCTGGATATCTCCTTCAATTCCAAGAGTTAGAAAAAATTAAAAATACCCATCTGCGGAATTCCGAGATCTGTCCAAATCCGTTGAGTTTTTGTGAATCGGCGAAAAACTCCACCCCCTTTAAGACCGGTTTTCATTGCTCACAAATGTTGCAAGAAAAATTGCAGTTCTTTCTGCAACAGTAACTTTTCTTGCAACATTCCAAATGTACGCCCAGTATGGGTGCAAAAAGTTGCGCAAAAAGTTTTGAAACTTTTCTCGAGGAGCAAAAAGTTGCAGTCTGGCCAAAACGTTTTGCAACATTTCCCGAGTCGGGAAGAGGCGAGAAATGTTGCACGGCGGGAATTATACCGGTTCGGGTTTGTTGTTGTATTATTTCCGCCGTGCACTCTCCCTTCTTCCCCTCGCTCCTCGCCTAGCTTTTGCTTAGACATGGGTTGTAGCGAAGGGGGGGGTCTTTCTGGCGAGCAGGGCTAGACTCACCCTCAAGGGATGACCGAAACCTTCTTGCTGCTGCGCATNGCAACAGCAGTGGTTGCTCGACTGCGGGGAGCCAGACGACAATCGCGACAGCTTCCCCTCTTGGGGTTGGATTAGATCAGCAGATGATGATGCACACAGCCAGTAGGGCGCTTGTATTTGCGTCTTGCAGGGCCTTTCACGGGGTGGGTGGCACCGCGGCTTCTCAGGGGCAGAAAATCGAAAATCATGCTCGTCTTGAGAAACGCCTCTCTGAATAAATCGAAGGACAGGGGGTGGGTATTGCTTGGATTCGTGCTGTCAATTTTTCTTCGTTTTTTTTCTGACTTTCCGTGTTGGTTTTGTGTGATGACATCGTCACCGGTTTTGTAGAGAGACCCGTCAGAGATGGCGTGGCTAACCCGGGTGCATTGGTTATGTGCCTGATCGTGGAAGACCCCTTCAATGTGGAACGATTCTTAGCTATTGTCGATATTTTCACTGCGTGCCTAACACAGACGATCGGGAGAGGTTCGGGTGATTGTCCATTGCAATCATGGCTTTGGTTGGTTGTTCTTTTTCACTGTACGTCCGCAGACACATTCTGACAGCACTTCAGACAGCAGCTTTGTGCCCCGCCAGCTTCTTGTTCCATGCCTACCATGGTGTTTTTGTACAGACAGCACTTCAGACAGCAGTATGCCGTAGTCGGCAATCTTCCGGCGTGTTGGTATAGAGTGGGACAGGGAGGTGATGCTACTGTAGTCGAACGGTGGGACGGACGTGCAGTTCAATTTTTGGGCACGCATACGGTGCTGCAGGGATTT